GATGTGAAATCCTTGGTGGCTTTAACTATCGTAGCAAGGTCGAATAATTCAAGTTCTTTATCTTCCTTTTGCCCTTCATTGCTCCTGGAATTTACACCATGATTTTCCTTTTCCCCTGAACAGTAACCAGATGTACTAAGATTAGCATTAGAATGTTATATTTTAACCACTTCGTTGGTCCAACATATTTCTGAACAAAACCTCAGAAAATTCCTCTCAAAACATACAAATCAGTCGTTCTTTTCTCAAAGTAAGCAGGGGAAGTTGCTATCAATCTTACAGTTTTGAAGTTCTAAAACGTTTTGAAGTTCTAAAACATTGTCCAAATATGATTTGTGTAGGAAGAAAATTTTACCTTGTGTGCTTCTGTGTCTTCTGCAAATATAATAGCAGACAAGAAGCAGACCAACTATGAAAATGACAGTTGAAGTTATGACTGACACTGCTATCTTCATTTGAGTCTCACCTGTCGGCTCTTCATGGATGAAAATTAGTTAAATTAGAGCCTTGAATGGTCTAATATATGGTAACATAACTTTGAGGAAATACTAGATACTTTGACAAAACCGAAAGTAATTATCTCATACCTGCTTCAGAAGAAGACATTCGAATGTATAAGTCTTGCCCACCTGCAAACTGTTTCATATCAATTAGATCTCCAAACCAAATGACACAACCACTGCCCTTTCCTCTTATATCTGTGTTTGTATAGGCCATACAAGAACAGTTCTGTAAACATTTAACCCTGCATTCTTTGAGACCTATACTTTTGTCTACCCAAGAATGTGTGGTATCTGGCACTTTTAATCCACCAAATTTGATAAACACATCTCCCTTGCAATCTAATGGTTTATTTCGCACACATCCACGAGACCAGTTGATGGAATCCCAATACTGTGATGCATTAGGCTTGAATCCTTTTAAACACTGACAAGGTACCACTTGAGAACTGTCACAACTCCCATACGCACCACAGAGTTCATAGTTGTCACAGACGTCGATTGGCGGATAGGTGGAAAGCACCCAAGTTCTACTTTCTTCACTCCAAAAATAGCCCTGGGTCTGATAGTTGGTTTGGTTCAAAACATACCTTATAATACCTGATTGCTCGCCGAAGTAAAATCTGAAGTACACCTCCTCATTATTCCATACAAATTCTGAATGAAAACCCAGCCTAGGCCTTAACAAGGGTGCACCGCTGAATCCAAGGCCATTCCAGGGGCCTATACGCATGTTTCTCTTTGTACCCCTCCATGTAACAAACTCAGGGTAATTGTTTAGCTCAATGCCTCCAGTGTAGTCTCCAGGAGATGGATCATTTGAGCTCTTCCATGCTGACAAACGCCGATCAAGACCAGTTCTCAAGTCCCGTCCAAATTTCATCCCTGCTATTATAGTATCAGTTGGATAATCAAAGCTTTGCCACAAAAAAGTTTCTGAATTCCCATCATCATTTCCATCTCTTATGACAAGATTTCCAGAATCCAAGAGCTGTACTATTGGATTTCGAGCTACTTTGGTTGAGTTTGCTGACCAAACAACATCGTTGCTTCGGCTGAGCAGTATAAGATTGCCTTTCCTGTCGAGCAACAGCATACCATAGGTGTCATTGATTGGATTACACCGGTTTGCAACCCAAACAACAGTTTTTTCAGTGATTTTCTTGTACCAAATGCCCAAGTAACAGTTTCTAGAGCCTCTAGGATTGAATAAACCAAGTTCAAAGTTTCCATCCCTTGAAACCAAGGTCCTCCCATCACTTACAGACTGAGAATAGGTAAAGCTATCGATTCCATCAGAGAATGTAGCATAGAAAAAGAGCAACAATGTTTTGACGAGAATGAAAGAAAAGTTTTCCATTTGTTTCCAAGCTATTACAGCTTACTACTAAAGGTTTCATATTGAAGCATTATAAAGGAAAAGAATCCCATAGCTCATAATAGTTGACTTAATTAATGAGGTGATTGCCAACCGCTGCCGGTGTTTTACTCATCTTGAGTATTTGACAAGTCAGGAGCTTCAAGTAATAATCTGAAGTGTATGTTACCAGAAATGTTGTTGATATTCCATCCTATACTAAATGAAGTTGAAGTTAACGGCTTGGACTTGACCATGGGAGATATGAAATTTAGAACGCGATTGGATGCTAAAGTCAATGTAAAAAGAAGATAAGAAAATAGGTTGATATTAAAATAAGTTCATGCTAACGTGATCAATTGACTTAGTTGTTATTAATTAAGTATTGAACTAATTGAGATAGTCATCAACTTGACCATCAATAAGTGTTTGTTTGATGATCAAGATGTTAACAAGCTATCAAGGCATAACACAGTCAATTATTAGTTTAATGCAGTTGTCCAGGAGCCGTTGGCAGCAAACACTAATAAAGGTGAAGCCAAAGAAAAAATAACAGAGCCAGGAATTTGACTCAAGGGACTTTCATTATGATGGTAGGTCATTTATTCAAAATTTGTCAAATTAACAAAAAGCTTGAAAATTACTGATTAAAAAATTTATCTGCATATAGATTTCTACTTTTGTTGGAATTTTTCTTGATAATATAGACATAATGACAAGTAATAAAAGTTTGTAATGGTGACAAATACGAGAGGATGAGCACTTAGCTCAATGATAAGTGCATATATCCTTCTTTTAAAGAGAAAATTATGTTTGAATCTCTTTGCTTTGTTGGATAAAAGATTATAAGTAATAATAGTTGAACTTATTAGATATTGCTTTTTAATAGTGATTGTATTAATTAATTGAATTAAATTATGAATTTATATGACCAAGACTTATTTAAGTAAAAAATCGTAAGTTGAAGATAAAAAAAAAATTATAAGTGTTAAAATTTGAATTTCAAATTTGTTAAATACCATTCTTCAAAAGTAACCGAATAAACTAATTGAATTAAACTTAAAATTCATATCAATAACACTTGATGTCTAAGAAAACTGTTAGTAGCTTTTTAATTAATTGGTAGAATGAATAAAAGTTAAAGCAAAATGGCTTTGTTCATGCTGTATAGGACAAACATCAGGAAAATCAAGCATTAAAAGAGCAAAGCTGGTCAAGATACATTTCCACTGTTTGTTTTCCGGATTTATTAACATTAATTTCCCATGCTTTAAATCCTTGAGAATTTTCCTACAATTTGTTCCAACGTTTATTTCATCCCTCAAATTTCTCCATGATTGACTTGGATTCTCCCCAAAGCCTATAAATTGCTGAGATAACTTCAACATGACTAAGTTGGAAAAGGAGTGTTAGAAATAAAGTTTATATGAAGCAATAATTGGAATAAATTTCATTTATAGTCCTCAATCTTTTATTCTAATCCTAGTTTGATCATTAACTTATAGATCATTGTATTTGAATCTCTAACCTTTTAAAATGATTTCATTTTGGTTATTCTAGTAAAGTATGAGCTTATAAATTATTTTATTTCAAACCTTAACCTTTTAAAATGATTTTACTTTGATTATTCTAGTAGAGTTTGAGAATGATTTTTTTTTTTTTATAATCTTGTAATTAACTAATTACAATAAAAATCATATAGAGAATCACCACTTATAAATATAAACTACACAAAATATATGTACATATTAGTAACATTTTAGCTATCATGTCATTAAGATTTACACATGATAGTTCAATAAGCTATATCATTATCCATAAGGTATAAAAAAGATGATCAAATCCGTCATATCTCATATTTTCTATCTTACGTATTCTTTATTTCTTTTTTCACTTTATGTTTTCTTTTATTTTTATTTTTATAAATTTGACTGATTTATACGTTAGAATATTATCTTAAAATATTACCTTCATTACTCCTTACCTTTTTTATGATAGGTCTAACAGGATATTTATTTTAATTTCGACAAACTCTTCAATTACCGTACTAGAAATTACATCAATAATTTTAAATTAAAATTTATTAGCTATAATGTAATAATTATTCATCCTTTAATTATAAGATTAAACTTAATATATTTCACATGTCTGCCTATGTCAGGTCAGGTGTCATTTTCTTTTTAATTTTATATTCGGATCATACAGCACTAGATAAATATCACTAATTTTTTAAATTTTGTATAAACAAAATTCAATTGTCAATTTATCACAGAATAACCAAAAAAAAAAAACCCATTCAAAGTTTGATACATTCTTATTAAAATGAGATTTTGAGTTAGAATTTAGACCAAAAATAACTTCATATTTTAATTTATCTATCAAAAAAATTTAATATTCATTACCTTTTGAAGTTTTTTTTTTTTTTTTATTTCTAGAAAAAACCCACATTTTTTGGCCCACTAACTCGAAATTGGCCCGACCACTAAATCCAATTTGCTGATCGACCCGAGTCCGATACCTCACCCCCTCCTCAATCTGACTCCAATTTCTCTCTTTTTTTTTTTTTTTTCTGCAATTTCAAATTCTCTCTCTCCAATGCCAACGATCTCGGTCATTTGAAAAAAATTCCCCGAAAAAATCAATTTTTTCAAAATTCGATAAGATAACCCGATCCGGTGACCCGCAATGGATTCGTTTAAATGCGAAATTTCAAGAGAAATAAATAAGATATAATTTTTTTTACAAGAATATCTGTTTCTTTTCGTTGTTCCTATTTTGTTACAGGATGTAAATGTCAGTAGCAAAATTGGTGTCACCTTTAAAATTTTAATTTACATTTTCTAAATTTTTTTTTCTTTTATCTCATCATAGGCACCAACGTCTGTCCTAATTGAATCTCAGATTAAGAAACCAGTTTTCAAAGACAAACAACATTCAAAAGACAATTTTTATTCAGAGATCTATTTACAGCTTACAAGATCTGTCTTCTAAATTTAACATGAGAAACAGAACAACAAATCCAGAGGATAAAACAACATACATTCACATACAAGGATGTAGAAATGTAATGTACTAACTGCATTATGAGAAGCAACATTTGGCAATGACAATGACAGAATAGGGTAATATAGCTAAAATTTTCTCTATCGACCTTCCACAATTGAGATACTAACATCATTAGTTGAAGATGGTACGATCTTCGTTGAAGAACACTCTGTTTCTAACTTCTTATTGATCAAGAAACCGGGTTCTTTTGGTTTTACCAATGCAGTCTCACCGCCCAACATCAGAACCACGGATGACATGCTCGGTCTATCCTCAGGACGTTGTTGTACACATAATAGAGCAATGTGGATGCACCTCACCACTTCAGACGGAGAGCATGACTCTTGTAAAAACGAATCAATCAGCTCTAATGGCTTTCCTATTTTCCAGAGTCGCCAAGCCTAAGACAAATTATAAGCTCTTGGTCATTCTCCTTCTCAAAGAACAATAGAAGTCAAGAAGTTTTTCTACTCACTTGTCCAATCAGGTTCAGGTCATGGATGGGATGGTAAAACCCTGTATTTTTCTTGCCACTTATTATCTCCAGCACCAGTATCCCAAAGCTGAAGACGTCTGATTTTACTGAGAATTGTCCGTCCATAGCATATTCTGGTGCCATATAACCACTGCAGAAAATCATCAGTGAAGAACTCATCATCGGTCGATGTGGGCAGGAAACACATTGGTGATGATCTAGAGTTAAATTCATGAATGAAAAGAAGAAGATAGAAGTGAACTTAACAACTTACTATGTTCCAACCACTCTATTTGTGCTCCCTTCAGCCTGGTCTCCTCCAAAAGTTTTAGCCAATCCGAAGTCTGAAATTTTTGGATTCATTTCACTATCAAGAAGAACATTACTAGTTTTGAGATCTCTGTGTATAATCCTCAATCTAGAATCTTGATGTAGATAGACAAGTCCTCGAGCAACACCATTGATAATATGAAAACGCTTGGGCCAATTTAGTAGCTTATGTCTTGTTGAGTCTGACATGCATGTACATATTGAAATTTAGTGTCCTACTAAAACCTTTCAAATAGACAAAACTAGCCTATAGAATATATTGGTTTTCTGAGGAATCCATTACCGAAAATGAAGGAATTTAAACTTCTGTTTGGCATAAATTCATACACCAGTATTCTCTCCTCTCCTTGGATGCAGCATCCAAGAAGCTTTACAAGATTCCGATGTTGAAGTTTGGCTACCAGTGCTACTTCATTTTTGAACTCCTTTGATCCCTGCCTGGATCGTTTTGAGAGCCTCTTCACAGCAATTTCTTGTCCATCTTCCAGGGTACCCTGAAAATAATGTACTATATAAGAATGTTTACTACATTCTGCAAAATTTTTTCGTCTAGTGCTTGTTTTCAGCAGAACAGTGCAAAATTACCTTGTAAACAGGCCCAAAACCACCTTCTCCTAGCTTGTTGTAAGATGTGAAATCCTTGGTGGCATTAACTATCGTAGCCAGGTCGAATAAGTGAAGTTCTATATCTTCCTTTTGCCCTTCATTGCTCCTGGTATTTACCCCATGATTTTCTTTCTCCCATGAAACAGTAACCAGATGTGCTAAGATTAGCATTAGAATGTTATATTTTGACCACTTTGTTGGTCGAACATATTTCTGAACAAAACCCCAGAAAATTCCTCTCAAAACCTACAAACCAGTCGCTCTTTTCTCAAAGTAAGCAGGGGAAGTTGCTATCAATCTTACAGTTTTGACGTTCTAAAACATTGTCCAAATATGATTTGTGAAGGAAGAAAGTTTTACCTTGTGTGCTTCTGTGGCTTCTGCAAATATAATAGCAGACAAGAAGCAGACCAACTATGAAAATGACTGTTGAAGTTATGACTGACACTGCTATCTTCATTTGAGTCTCATCTGTTGGCTCTTCATGGATGAAAATGAGTTAAATTAGAGCCTTGAATGGTCTAATATATGGTAATGTAACTTTGAGGAAATACTCAGATACTTTGACAAAACCAAAAGTAATTATCCCATACCTGCTTCAGAAGAAGACATTCGAATGTATAGGTCTTGCCCACCTGCAAACTGTTTCATATCAATTAGATCTCCAAACCAAATGGCACAACCACTGCCCTTTCCTCTTATATCTGTGTTTGCATAGGCCATACAAGAACAGTTCTGTAAACATATAGCCCTGCATTCTTTTAGACCTATACTTTTGTCTACCCAAGAATGTGTCGTATCTGGCAGTTTTAATCCACCAAATTTGATAAACACATCTCCCTTGCAATATAATGGTTTATGTCGCACACATCCACGAGACCAGTTGATGGAATCCCAATACTGTGATGCATTAGACTTGAATCCTTTTAAACATTGACAAGGTACCACTTGAGCGCTGTCACAACTCCCATAGGCACCACAGAGTCCATAGTTGTCACAGACGTCGATTGGCGGATAGGTAGAAAGCACCCAAGTTCTACTTTCTTCACTCCAAAAATAGCCCTGGGTCTGATAGTTGGTTTGGTTCAAAACATACCTTATAATACCTGATTGCTCGCTGACGTAAAATCTGAAGTATACCTCCTCATTATTCCACACAAATTCGAAATGGAAACCCGGACTAGGCCTTAACAAGGGTGCACCACTGAATCCAAGACCATTCCAGGGGCCTGCCCGCCTGTTTTTCTTTGTACCTCTCCATGAAACAAGGTCAGGGTAATTGTTTAGCTCGATGCCAGTAGTGTAGTCTCCAGGAGATGGATCATCTGAGTTCTTCCATGCTGAAAGACGTCGATTAAGACCAGTTCTCAAGTCCCATCCATATTTTATCGCTGGCATTATAGTATCAGTTGGATAATCAAAGCTTTGCCACAAAAAAGTTTCTGAATTCTCATCATCACTTCCATCTCTTACGACAAGATTACCGGAATCCAAGAGCTGTACTATTGGATTTCGAGCTACTTTGGTTGAGTTTGCTGACCAAACAACACCGTTGCTTCGGCTGAGCAGTATAAGATTGCCTTTTCTGTTGAGCAACAGCATAGCATAGGTGTCATTGATTGGATTACACCGGTTTGCAACCCAAACAACAGTTTTTTCAGTGATTTTCTTGTACCAAATGCCCAAGTAACTGTTTCTAGAGCCTCTAGGATTGAATAAACCAAGTTCAAAGTTTCCATCCCTTGAAACCAAGGTCCTCCCATCACTTACAGACTGAGAATAGGTAAAGCTATCGATTCCACCAGAGAATCTAGCACAGAAAATGAGCAACAACGTTTTGATGAGAATGAAAGATAAATTTTCCATTTGTTTCCAAGCTATTACAGCTCACTACTAAAGGTTTCATATTGAAGCATTATAAAGGAAAAGAATCCCATAGCTCATAATAGTTGACTTAATAAATGAGGTGATTGCCAACCGCCGCCTATGTTTTACTCTTCTTGAGTATTTGACAAATCTGGAGCTTCAAGTAATAATCTGAAGTATATGGTTACCAGAAATGTTGTTGATATTCCATCCTATACTAAATGAAGTTGAAGTTAACGGCTTGGACTAGACAATGGAGACTTGAAATTAAGAATGCAATTGGACGCTCAAGTCAGTAAAGTACAGCAAGTGAAAGAATGTAAAAAGAAAATAATAAAATAGGTTGACATTAAAATGAGTTCATACTAATGTGATCAATTGACTTAGTTGATATTAATTAAGTATTGAACTAATTGTGACGATCAATTAGTGTTGATTTGATCATCAAGATGTTAACGAGCGATCAAGGCATAACACAGTCAATTACTAGTTTAATGCAGTTGTCCAAGAACCTTGGGCAGCAAACACTAGTAAATGTGAAGCCAAAGAAAAAATAACAGAGCCAGGAATTAGACTTAAGGGACTTTCCGTATGATGGTAGGCCATTTATTAAAAACTAGTCAAATTGACAAAAAGCTTGAAAATTACTGATTAAAAATTTATATGCATATACATTTCCATTGTTGTTGGAATTTTCCTTGATAATATAGACATATATTATCAAATAAGAGAGGATGAGCACTTAGCTCAATGATAAGAGCATATATCCTTCTTTTAAAGAGAAAATTTTTAGGGCTGTTGATTCTCTTTTGTACCAAAAAATTTATGTTTGAATCTCTTTTCTTTGTTGGATAAAAAGTTATAAGTGATAATATTTGAACTCATTACATGTCATTTTTTAACAGTGATTGCATATATAAATGAAATTAAGTTATGGATTTATACAAGTAAGAGTTCCTTTGATAAAAAATCCGGAAATTAAAGATAAAAAAAATTGTAAATTTTTAAATTCTAAATTTTAAATATTATTTTTTAAAATTAATTATATAAATTAATTAAATTAAACGCGAAATTCAGATAAACAACACTTAGCTGATTAATTAATTGGTAGACGGAATAAAAGTTAAAGCAAAAGGGCTTTGCTCATGCTGTAGGACAATGTTAAAAACATCAGGAAAATCAACCAGCATTAAAAGATTTGATGTTTCTGGTCAAGATCAATTTCCACTGTTTGTTTTACGGATTTGTTAACATTAATTTCCCATACTTTAAATCCTTGAGAATTTTCCTTCAATTTGTTTCTACATTTATTTCATCCCTCAAATTTCTCCATGATTGACTTGGATTCTCCCCAAAGCCTATGCATTGCGGAGATAGCTTCAACATGACAAAGTTAGAAAAGGACAGTTAGAAATAGGGCAGCTTAGAAATAAATTTGATACATGAAGCAATAATTGTGTTAGCTCAAAATTTTGGAATAAATCAAGAGGGGGATGAATTAGTTTTAATGAAGTTTTCAAAAATAATATTCAATAAGCACAAAATTTTTTAAACAATTAAACACAATAATTGAAAGTAAATAAAAGATAGAGATAGAGAAAATAACATCGCGATTTATAGAGGTTCGATCCTTTCTTAGGCACCTATGTCCTCTCTCTTAGCCTCTCTTGTCAAGGAGTTCAATCCACTATAAGTGTTGAAGATTACAACCAAGCTTCTCTAAGCTCTACAAACTCAACACAATATACTCTTAAGGGTTATCCTCCCCCTTTAAGCTTACAAACTCACAAAACAGAAAAATAAAGTGTTTTGCAAACTCTAAGAACCTCACAAAGGTTGAGTATTTGCTAAGTTGAAGTACACAAAGGTATAGACAAGAGAATGATGAATGAACAACAAAAATAGTTTGGATACAATAAATACAAAGATATAGACTTTGAAACTCTAAAAGCTCTTGATTATTTGAGAGAATGAAAATATTGCTTCTTAACTCTTGCTCTCTTGATTCCTCTATCCTCTTGGTATGTTGGAGTGCCCTCTTTATAGAGAAATTGATGAACTAGCTGTTGGGGAAGCTTAGAGTGAAGAAATGCCTGTTTGAAAGCACCAAAAAGTAGCCGTTGGAGTTCCCACGCCCAGAACTTATCGATCCCTTGAGGGGATCGATTGGTTCAGCTTTGAGACACCCAGAAATTATGCACAAAAAGCCTTACCCAATCAATCCCTTGCTTGAAGGGATCAATCCCTTGCTTGGGTGATCAATCCCCTATGTGGAGGGGTCGATCCCTTTTCTGGATTTTCAGCTTGGGGGGCATTCTGTTTGAGGAAGCAATCGATCCCTTCTAGAGGGGATCGATCCTATCCAAGCTGATGGTTGTTTCTCATTCTGTACTCTACTCACTAATTTGATCATAACTTGAGTTATACAAATCCAAATCACAAACCGTTTGAAGATTTAGAAACTAGATTTAAAGGGCTTTCGATCCATGTAGACTTTATCACCTAATTCACTGTGTACGAATTATAGTAAATTTTTAAATCTACCCTTTGTGCAGTTTTCTGGACAACTACAATGTGTCTAGTAAAAATTCAAAATCTTTTCTCAAAAAATTTGGATTTTCATTTTGTTTGATCCATTAGAAAGTAGACTTAAAGAGCTTTCCAACCATATAAAATTCAAGTATTAAAACCTTGTGAATTTATACAGAAAAATAAAATAAGTTCAATGTTGGAAAACTTTGTTCTTGTAAAAACAACTTTCCTAACTTAATCTATTTCCCAAAACCAATATTATTAAAATTATATTAAGTCCAAAATGAATAAGTTCGCTTTAAAAACAACAATTGAACTTTCATTTAAGCTCAAATAAATAATCTTTAAAGGTAGATTTGATTTGAGAAATATGACACCAAGAAAGGTTTGTTTAAACTTTGAAAATCATATTATTTATTTAGTACAAAAATATAAAACTTAAGAACATGTACTAAATAAATCTTTTTCAAAATCTTGATCAAGTTTATTTAGCTTTAATGTTTTATCATTTTAAAATAATGATCAATTCAAGACTAACAATCTCTCCATTTTTTATATGACAAAACTTAAAGATAAATTTGCTTGATGAAGAACTTTCTTTGAAACATTTAAGATTTTGAAAGACATTTTGGAAAACTCCCCCTTAAGTAATGTATGGCAAAACTCCCCCTCAATTTATGCATTCCTATCCAACACAACTTAACAAACATATGCTAGTCAAATATATGAAATAAGCACAATCAAACATATGCATGTCAAGCACAAGCAAATTTATCTATATGATATTTCTACCCCTTTTTGTCATAGCAAAAAGGCATGAGCATATTAATGAGCAAATAAACACAAAGAGGCATCATTAACAAATATATTCATAAAACATATCTCCTCCCTTTTGTTTATGCTTTATATACCAAATGTTTAAGCTCCTATATCAATTGTAATAAGAAGAAATATCTTTAAATTCTCTCCCCTTTTTGTCATTTCAAAAGAAAGAGAGATCAATTCAAGGCATGGGACAAAATGCTTGATACCAATAATATCAAGAGTATTTTGATTGCATATAATCAAGTGTAATATGCACAATGAAGTTTATATACATGTATTCAAGCACAAAAGTATAAGTGTATCCAAATTTGGCATTTTAGCACAAGTTATCAAATTTACTACATGAAATTTATGAGCAAAGGATAATGAATGATATGCAATCTACTCATAAATCATGTTAGGATAAGATGTGCTTAGAACCTAAAACATCAATAGCAATTAAGCATAAATTCAAGCATATGCATACAAGTTGATACCAATTGTTATGGATACCAATTGTTAAAGATATGTCATCAAGAAACATACAAATTGTTATCACAAAATAAATAAAGCAAAATTGTATTATAAGATTTCTCATTATTTTCAAAATAAAGATTAATCAATATAAGGCACATACAATTTTACAGGAGAAGTACAAGTTATATCAAGGATAGGCACATAAATAAGCATCTATGAAAGTTAAAAAATCTTTAGCAATTTTGATACCAATTGTTAGTAATTTTATTCAACTTTCATAAAACAAACATACTTTAAGCATATGAAAGATTCATTCAATACATGCATAAATGATAATAGTAATCTTTCATAAGCTATCATATCCAAACAAAAACCAAAAGCTCATATGTATATAATAAATCATAAGTACTAATCAGCAATGAAGTTCAATTATCATCATGTCATAACAAAAATTATATAAGCATGATTTTCCAAACATGATGAGTACATATGCTATAGCAAAGAAATAATGAAAGCATAATTGTTTAATTATAATCCAAATTATTTCAATGCATAACAATGTACTTAACTCAAACATATGCAAGTATTTAATCATATATTTCAATCAAAATCATACAAGCATATGCAAAATATATAAGCAATATACCAAAAAAAATGCAAGCATTTAGGCACAATTTGGTACATGTCATCTTAATGTCAATCAATGAACATGTATGTGAATTTCATGTTTATAATTCATAATCTATGAGTCAAGACAATTGAAAGATCAAGAAATCAATATATTCAACTCATATTCATGTTCAAAGATTCAAACAAATATTCATGCATTAAAAACTAGTAATCAAAATATTCAAGAACTAGGCATGAATATTAATGAAGGTGAATTAATCAATCCAAGCTTTAAAAAAAATATTAAGATAAATTTTATCAAGTAGCTTGATGATTAATTTGCATAATGTGTTCATATCTTCAATCACAAAATCATATATTTGCACATATTAAAGCAAGCATGTATATGTATTCAAACTCATACATCATATCATAAAGTTGATACATTTACCTCCATCCATGTCAAGCTTTGTTGTTGTGCTCATTTGGCTTTGAATTCTCCAATCCACTTTATTGGAGCAAAACTAGGCTTGATTGATGAGGATGACATGCTTTGCTTGCTATACTTGAAATTTCAA